TCATAACTTTAGTAGATCACAGCAACATGTTTATCACACTGAATTATATTACGCTGCCTTTAAATACAATAACATTACGTCGCAAGTCAAATCTTAAGTTTATCCAAATGTTCCGGTCCCCAGCTTTGTTTATTATTTGTTTGTTATGTATCTGAATCTGTTTCTCAGTTTCCGATTTTACTGTGCAGTTTTACTTTGAATAACCTGCCATTTTTCGCCAAACCGCGAGTACTGTTGTCAAAATCGACACAAAATAGCAGTCTGCTGCCAAATCGCTTGCAGTTAAAGTTGAATAAAATCTGGAATGTTGGAATTATGAAACTTTGACTCAAACTAACCTCATAAGCCTAAGCGACAGAAGCTTATTAATATTTATACACACTACACACACATATATAATTCTACCTTTGCTTTTAGAAAATAACATGTGTGTAAATGATAAGTTATTTTCTAAAAGTAAAATAATTTGTTTGATTGTCCACTGACAGGTAGCAGTAATATTATTACTAATAATCTTATGAATAATATTTATTATTATTATTATTTGTGCAGCAGATAATATAACCTTAAACCGAGTTGATTTGTGTTAGGAACCAACACCCTAGCACTCAGGCCATTCCCATGAGCACTTTATCTTCAGCAGCTACCACAGAGTTCCAATAACTATGGTATCTTTAGCAGTCTGATTATATGTCAGCCTTGTCTTTTCTTTCAGTATTGATTATCGCCCAAAAATAAGGTGAAATGTCATTTTTAATATTATATGAACATTGGGAAAAATACAAAATCAGTGGAAGAAAGGAATAATTATGAAAATTCCCCAAAATGATATTTTTACTTATTGTAAGTATTAGTGAAGCATTACTCTGTTTTCAGTAATGTGAAATTATCCTCAATAGAATTAAAAGGATAGTGGAGAGAGTTATGTTATCACAATCAATGTTACAGCATACTGGGCATTTCCATGCATGACCAGTCCTCCGATGCAGCGGTCACTCCCCAGAGTACCTCTTTATTTTGTACTCATGAAAAGATAGTTACAATGCCCAGGTGTGTAGATCAAGGTGAGAGAGGTTAAGTGTGACTTCTGAATTCTGTCTACCCATTCAGAGGTGAAGCTGCCTGTTTCTGAAGCATGTTTATGAAGTCTAATATCATCACACGTGTGGCTGCTTGTTCTGCTGCCCATGCTAGTGCTCCGTTGTTGTTGTTGTTATCAATCTAGCGGTGCATGAGCTTTCGCCCTTTGGCCCAATGCCATGTAGTGGAATTTGCATGTTTTCACATGATGTTCTTTTCCTCCTTACAGGGTGTTTCACTTGTCTGGTCTCGGAGGGAGTAGCGTTCTTCTTGTCTCACTGAGTTTTGGGCACTCAAAGAGATGGTGTTTAACAGTTTCGTAGGGGTAGTTACAAAGCTGGCACTCTGGGGAGTGTTGTGGCTGTATTCTGTTTAGATGTCCATTGAGTGGAGTATGTTAGTATCTTCTAAGTCTGAAGATGTTGGCCTGGTCCCTTCTTGTTAGATGGTTAATGATGTCATTAGGATCATGGCCAGACATATGTCTATAAACCTCTCTTTCAGTGTCTCCCATGGCCCATCTGTTCAACCAAGTCTCTTTGTTTAAAGCTCTTATAAGTGTTTTTGCTGTCTGGATGGTTGTCGCTGTAGGTGGTTGTTCTTGTGTTGCTCCTTTCTGTCAGCTCTGTCATTACCTGGTGTGCCGGAGTGACCTGGAATCCACTGCATTACTATTCTGATATTGTATGAGGTAATAAGCTGATCAGCATCCAGGATTATCTTGGCTATGTCAGTTCTGCAGCGTTCTCTGCCCTCCAGAGCTTGAAGGACAGACATTGAATCTGTGAAGATGACAATATTTTGGACCTTTGAAGGGTGAACATCCATTACAGTCTTTAGGTGGTATACTGCAGTTTCCAGTGCAATTATTTTAGCTTTATAGTTTGAACAGAATTTCCAGCATGCATCAAAAATCTCTTCAACAGATCCATCGGGATAACCTATGTAGATTCCGTAACCTGCTTTAATGGTAGCTTTAAATGCTTATCCATCAGTATAGACATGTATCCATTCTTGGGGGTAAGAATCAACGGTCTTTAGTGATGAGTTCATAAGAGCGATTGGGTCGGACTGTTTGGTTTCCTCGCCTACCAATTTAATTCGGACTTCTGGAGCTTTAAAGCGAGCATGTGGTGGTAGGTTTCTTGCAACATTCTGAATTCCTTGACGTCTTTCTGGGAGGTGGTATCTGTCCTGAATTTCATTAACACAGTGTAAAACCGATTTGTGCTTTATTCTTTGTTTGTATTCCTAGTTTTCTACAAGATGTCTATTAGGATGGTTACGATTTTTCCTAACGCATCTTTCATAAATTTCTAAAGTGGCTTTTTCTCTCCACAACCCGAGGGGTTCAACATTTGTATGGATTTCACATGCAGCAGTTGGTGTAGACTGCATAGCTCGGCAGATTAATCGGAGGGCATTATTTTGTACTCTGTCAAGAGTCTTTAGGTTAGTTTTGGAGCAAGTTGTAAGCAATGAGTTGTTGTACTCTATCACAGAGCGAACATATCCTAGATATAAGCCCCTCAGAGTTTCCCTTTCTGATCCCCATGATGTACCTGCAAGTCTCTTTAATAACTGTAACCGCCTCAATGCCTTATTTCTTGACGTTTTCAATATGGTTCTTGAGGCTGAGCTGCCGGTCAAGTGTGACTCCAAAGTATGTGGGATGCTCTTCTTTCATCACTTGGTGTTTGTCTAACCTCAGGTTAATATTCTTCCTTGCTACTTGGTGGCTTTTGGTAAAGATTGTGTAGACCGTCTTTGCACAGTTAACCTTGAGTTTCCATCTTTGGCAGTACTCATGCAGTCTTCTAAGGTCTCCATTCAGTCTTTGGGCTCCACTTTCCACATTTTCATGACTCTGCGATATTGCTAGGTCATCAGCGTACAAGGCTTTTTCGGCCTTGATTTGTTCTGGCAGGTCATTGATAAAGATTAGGAACAGTGTACAGCTCAATGATGAGCCTTGTGGCAAGCCCTCCTCCAAGACTTCTTTAGAAGAAATTGCGTTGTGCATCTTAGTCGCTAGTGCTCCGTAATTGTGCTTGACTTAGTTGCCTGGTAGGCGTAGCTATTCACTTTTATAATTTCCCCCATCTTTTGTGCTAATTATGCCCATGCTGACCTTAACATGAATTTCATGGACCAATCTGTGTAGGTGATGTTTTTTTTTTACATAGATGTTGATCTATAATTGCCCATATGTCACATTGGCAGGATTCTGATTCCTGCAATACATCTCCAGTGTGTTGACAGCCTTGGAGTAGGTATACATTTTAAGGCTGCTTGGTCTCGAGGCATAGTATCTGCCTCGAGTGCTAGAGGTCCCGGGTTCAGGCCCTGATTAAAGCTAGGTTTTTTTCACGTGGACTTCCAGGAATTTCCCCTGGTCTCTGGGTAGTAAGTGTATTGTTGCGCACGTACAAAAATCCTTTGGCAGTTTGAAATCAAAAAGAATAACCAAATGGTGCCACCCTGGCAAAATTTGGAGCTTAAAATCTACCTAAAATATTCCAGGATCCTCGCCGGTGCTACAGAGTTTGTGCACTGTGCTGAGATGTTTCGGACAGGCATGTATTAGAAAAGAACGGTGCACTTATCATGTCAACTTGTGTATCCATCAATTTTTCCATGTTTGAGCTCGTTAAGATTACATTGCAACACATTATCATCATTCCCTGCCAGATGGTGTAGGTGCTAATGCCTCTCCAAAGATTTTTGTCCTTGGTATTTTGAATCAGTTCCAATAATGTAAACCCTGTGTGCCATCGCTTCATGCTATCAAGTATTGTCTTTCTTGGTCTACCACTGCACTTCTACCGTTGATCTTTACAATCATCATGATGTTCTCCGATGCCTCTCTTCTCATCAACAGCAGCTTTTAAAAGTCTAAACAGAACATGGAACTCTAAATTCTATAGTTTTAAAACCAAGTTACATGTTTTTAATTGTAATGTTAATTCATTTTTAACTTGTGACAGTGGGAAACCGCTAAAGATATCAAACAAAATTTAAATGCAGTAACAAAAAAAAATACTTGAAAAATTGATGAACATTAAATGGGATGAACCCAAAACAGATGAAGAAATAAAACGAAATGTGTGGGTAGTCACTTGTGCCATCTGTTAAAATACAAAACAATAACAAATAAAATAAGCAAATGATTGATTCCTTCCAACTGAAATACAAAATCCACTACAATCAAATACAGTTGCCTGTTTGTTAAACCAGGGTAAATGAAAGTTCACAAGCTAACCTCACTATGCAGAACTACAACATGATGATAGATAATATGAAAACTAAGTCAGTACAAATTAGCAGAACTCCTGATCCATTAGATTGAACTTGTGAACATTGTTATCAAGGACAGAGCATTCCAAATTTATTATATGTCAACCAGTCTTAGGCTGCATCATTTTGCAGAAGAGGTCACACAGCTGTCTGTCCAGATTTGTGTAAAAAAAAAAAAAATTTAGTCATAAACTTGCTCTTACTCCGTTAAAACAGGCAGTTACATTTGAGCATGGTAGATTTTGTGTTTCAATTGAAAGGATTCACTCATTTAAGTATTTTTTTGGTTTGTTTAACCAGTAGTGCGCACCAGACGAGAAATATGTCAGGCAATAAATTATGCCGTCTGTTTGTGTCTTCTTTGTTCCAGTCTGCAGTGGGGAAACAATGCTTTGTTAATCTGTAATAGTTTCTAAATAAAGCTCAGTTTCTGATAATAACCTATCCATCCTCTGGGAAACATTTCAGCTCTGAAATTTTAAGATGCTAAAACTATTGAGAGTTATCATGTTTATATAATTTATCCGCAGTGTTTATATTGCTAAATTTGAGATGTCATATGGGAACACTGATTGAATTGCTAATATATTAAAAATATAAAGTGAAGACACATAAACATAAGGATGTATTGTGACTGGGCTTCATTACAAGAAGAAATTCAATGTGACAGAGGTCATCAGTCTGTTCTGCATAAATTTCCAGCCAGTGTGGGACGGGAAGTTGCTTGTCATGTTGTCAGACATATAGCTCAGAATCTTAGCATTTCTACAGCAGCAGATGATCCTAGTAGTCTTCAAGATGAGAAAGATGTCAAATGGACTATGGAGGTTAGTTCTGTCATTTTCATTATTCTGAAGGCAAATGTCTCTGATTAAGAATGCTCTGTAATATAATTCTTTATGGAATTCTGAAACATCAGATCAATTCACTACATTGCTGTCTTGTCTGTCTGTCTGTCTGTCTGTCTGTCTGTCTGTCTGTCTGTCTGTCTGTCTGTCTGTCTGTCTGTCCCTCTATCTCTCTCTTCCCCCCACTCTCAGTCCCTCTCTTGTTATTTTTCTCTCTATCCCTCTCTCACACATGCCCACAAAGGACAGACCTTTATGTATCCCTTGACTTCACACACACACGCACGCATGCACGCACTTAATTAGACAAGCTGGGTATCATAAATTATCCAGTCTTCTTATTTAGAGAACAAGATTTCCACCACACAGGGAAGTTTACACTCTGTTAGTGGCTTCTGTTTTTGGCATTAGTCGTGAACATGGATACTTCAAAATTCTTCTTCTTCTTTCGATCGCTTAAAATAGATTATCTATATCTGCAGTGTTGTCTCTAGTATGAACTTCACTGTCTATTGTAATTCAGTCAGCGACCCGTAAAATTTGGCTTGCACCGGTGTTTCACTTGGCCAAAACTTTTGCCTTGATATTTTGTATTTGGGGCAGTCTTGGAGGACGTGATCTGTTGTCTTAGTTGCTAATCTACATGTACACATGTACAGGGCGCCAGTTTCCACACTGACAGCAGTAAATGATGACTTAGTTTTCAGTGTTCTTCTTCGTGTACACTGGCTGTAAACTCTGATGTAAAATTCCAGTTATTCATCCACTTCTGGACTTTGGTCTTTTCCCAAAACTTGACTTTAGCGTGAACATCTTTTTTTACAAGTCTGGCTTTTTTGTAGGCAAACTGTTGGCTCCTCGCCTCTCAAGCAGATGCACCTCGATTTCAAAGGGAACATTCCTTATTAGTCAACTTTTACCATGTTCTTTTTCCCCCTGCCCACACTTAGCCCGTAAACCCTCACAAATAGATCTCTTGTTTGAAAAGAGCTAAATTTATTTAGATAGCCAAAGAATTACACACAAAATACTAGCTTCCACTTCCTGATAAAAAAAAAATAAAAAGGCCCACTTTTTCAGAATGCCTATCAGAGAACTCCATTATTTCCCACAAATCAGAGATGCTGTAGATGACGTCCTGATAAAAGAACAGACTTTCCTAGAAATTAATGGAACCACCATTCATATGTTAGAAAAAGGATCAGATAGTTATAATAATTTATGGATGTCTGAACAAGTTAAGCTGTAAGGGATAAAGAAGGTGGAACCAATATTTAGCTTACCAAGGTACCATAAAAAGAATGTATTGTTGAATGTTTTATTAAGAATTGACATCAAAGCACTCGGCTGCAGTTTTTAAGTGCACCGTCCCTATCTTCAGCAGCATCCGTCTCGCCATTTCCATGAGTGTTGAGCACACATCTTCAATGGTGTCTTTAGCTTGTGCCATCCTAGACCATCCTCTTTTTAGTCATTGACTCTTAACTCTACCTAGGGCTTCCTGCAGGGGGTTCTTCTTGTCTGCAGCCAATGAGATAGGATTTTGCTTGCAGAACTTGAGCCTATCTGCAATAATAGGCAGTGCAAATTTATATCGCATTCAAGTTTCATCAGCAGACTCATTCATGTGGTAAGCATTCCAACAGGATCACATGCTGAAACATTGTGAACAGGATTCTTTGTTCTGTGTCCATTGCTGCCATAATCTTGAGAGCATTGAGTCCTTTTTAGCATTTTACTGAAACTGCTTCCACATGATCCCTAAAGAACAGGCCTCTATAGAAAATGATACCCAGGTACCTCAGTTCGCTTTCTCTTTTAATGTTTCTGTCAATAATTGTGAGGCTTGGAACATTAGCTCTTACATTTCTTTTGTCCAGAGAGCATCATAAAACAGCTGCCTTTTCTGAGGTGATGACAGCATCCATCTCTGTATACCATTCAGTCACTTTTTCTACAGTTGCCTGTAGCTCTTGGGCTATCCGTTGCCTATCACTCCTATGCCTATAAACAAGAACTTCATATGCAAATGTCAGTATCCTATGAACACCTGGTGCATTAAGTTCTGCAGTCTTGCTTATACACACATTGAATATGCCAGGCTATCCTTCTTTCTATGAGTGCCGATCAGTACATTGTCTCTTTGTTAATTATATAATTATCTTTCTACTTCTTTCTATGAGTGCTAATCAATACATTGTTTCTTTGTTAATTATATAAATAAAATTTCTACGGTTTCAAGGGTTCCCCTCTGTTTATTTATGTAAGTGAAATTTAACACAGTGGAACCTACCAGTCAAATCTTTTTCTTAAATGTACGTGTATTCTAGAAAAAGCATTATGGTCTGCTGTGCTTGTAAATTGTTGCTGTGTTTGTTATTCAACCTATGCTTCGTTATTATACATCTCTGTAGCCTATGGTGCCATTTAAATGGTTTGAAATTAATTCTGTCTGTATTCCATAGTTGTGGATTTCAAGCTGTATGATAGACATGCCAACAAATACACCTTTTTTGGGGGTGCCTAGTAGGTTGTGTTCTTAGTACGCTTCTTACCATAGCAAGGCTCACGAACATTTGGAGTTGGCAGGCATGGTAACAATTCTTCTTAATCTTCAGCATTCCAAGTCCTTGAGGTTTATTGGTGCAGTTATCACTTGCCTCCATTCATCTCCCTGGTTGGCCTTCTCTTTCCCGTTGGTAACACCAAGTGTTTGCATGTCTGTCTGGACATTATCTCTCCATCCTCTTCTTGGTCTCCCTCGTGGTCTACGACCATTTATCTACCTTGTGTATACAGTTTTTACCTCTCTGTCATCTGACATTATTTTGAGCAAAATAACACTGATCAAGACAGTCATAAGAACCTGTTGAAACTTATAGTCTTGAAGACCCACTAAACCTGCTTAAATCAAAGAGATATACCATTATATTTAGATTGCAAAATGGATGCAATAGTCTCTGCTGTCATGTATACAGAACATTTAGGATGAGGACTGTCCATGTGGACAAAAAAAATCATGACCTGTTCAGAATACTGAACTTGTGCTACAGACATGCTCTCTTTCTGCAATAGAGAGATCCCAGGCCTGGTCAGTTAGCATTCTGGTGGAAACCAAGCTGTATGGATCAGTGGAGGACATGCTTCACACCACAGCCTTCATAAATGGCTATGGCTGTCTTACATGGAAACCTGATGGCAGATAGAACAGAAAAGGAGAAGATGGACAGAGGCTTAATATGCCAGACCCCATAAAGAGAAAAGTATTTTTCAACAAAAGAAAATTGTTCAACGTTTCTCCTGAGTTATCAGTGTAAATGAGGACTACTGTTTACAAGTAGAAAACTGTCCCAAAGTGGATAGATGATTTTTGTGATAAGTAGGAGTTTTCCTCTCAACACTTCACCTCCACCAGAGAAACCGGACTAATATCCGAGTGCAATGAGCTGCTTCTATGAGCGCTGACTCGTTGTCTAGAAGATGATGTATATAGTGAATGCTCTTCGCACACATTCTACGATGACATAACTGGGACAAGCCGACACCGACTAAGCATCACGATTTATCAGTTTATTGACATCTTAACTCTCACATGAACGTCTAGTCCTTGTCCTAAGAAATAGCTTTCACACACCACATTACGCAGACTTTAACATGCCGGTTTCTCACGCAGTCACTGACCAGAGTTTGCACAGATGTATCTGGTTTATTCTCCTTGACATCAATAAAGACTGGCCTGGCTGGTCTTGGCTTCAAATGGATGTCGTCGTCTGGTTTTCCTCTCACATCAGTCAGTCTTGCGTTGGCATTCTCTCAGTCAATCTCTCGTCCTTTCACTCCGACAATTCAACACATACTAACTTGATCAGATTAGGATCTAAACTTATACCCCTGTTAGTTTCACGTGGCAACATGTATTAGTCCTTTACTTCCACTTGGCGACCTTTGATTGCTATCATCGGGTTTCACGTGATAACTCGTGGTCATCACCTATCTTAAAAACCTCGGTTAATCCAAGTATCTGGCTTCTCTCTGTATTCTGGTTAACCTTGGGTTTTCCCCCCAACCTTCCTAATCAGGGTGAAAATATCCCCCATTACACCGAGCTATGTTGATCTTAGACAAAGTCCTGGAAATCCAAGAAAACAGCCATATTTGGCTTGTTATGTAAATTAACAGCAGCTGCACTTGGTACCCACAGGAGAAGGAAAGGGATTTTAGATGTCTAGATTATTATAATTAATGAATTATTAGACAAGGCAGGTGACCCCTCCCGACTACCACCTCCTGGTAAAGAATTATTAATGAGCTCCCACCAAATGCAATTCCATCCAACAGTTTAGTTAAACATGTAAGAACAAACACTTGGAATTTGACAAACAATGCAGTATAAAACCATATATTTAATTTATTACATTATATTACACCAGCAATCATTTAGAAGACATTTGTCATTTATAATATACGTGATTAAACAGTGACCGCTGATCGTATACTAAGCGAAGCAACAATTAACAAAAAACCAAAAACATCAGTACGTACCTCAATGATTGACATAAGACACCTAAGCAATCTAGACAACCAAGCAAAAGTACAGGCAGAAATGACGGCGAAGATGGCTGAGCTAATAACATCAAGTGACAATGTGGAAGCTGCGTGGCAAAAATTTAAGAACACTCTTCTGAACTGCCTAACAACACTCTGTGGTATTAGATACACAGGAGGAACGTTCAGGAAAAAAACAGCATGGTGGAATGATAACGTAAAACAAGCAGTGAAATGTAAAAAGGAGCAATACAAGAAATGGCTAAGATCCCGCTCAGATGACGATTATATCAAGTACAGAATTGCCAGGCGACAATCTGCAAGAGAAATTAAACAATCCAAGGAAACAACCTGGATCAAAACCATTGCAAAAATGAGAACTAGAGATGAACCATTCCAGCCATCTGAATATGTCAATGATAGCCAAGGCAAACCCATACATGAGGAGGGCAAGATCAGAGAAAGGTGGAAAGAATATTTTCAGACTCTTCTGAATGTAACAGGAAATGAGGAAACAGTACCATTCACACCCAGATGTACAAACGAGGAACAGCCTACAATAATCGAACAAGTAGTCAGAGAAGCAATCAGATGCAGTCCCAAAAATAAGGCATCAGGTGTTGATGGAATATCAGCCGAGGCAATACAGGCTTGTGGAGAAATTGGAGTCACCTGGCTACTCCACATATTTAGGAAAGCCTGGAATGAAAGAACTGTACCAATAGACTGGCAAAGAGCCCTTATAGTCCCAATTTGGAAAAGAAAAGGCAATAAGCAAGATTGTAACAATTACAGAGGCATCTCCCTTCTAAGCCACGTAGGAAAAATGTTTGCCAAAATTCTGGAACAACGAATAAGATCCGTTGTAGAACCGATCCTGAGCCCATCACAGGTCGGATTTAGGAAAGGAAGAGGGTGTACTGACGCTATTTTTGCTTTAAGACAAGTTAGCGAAAAGACAATAGAACACAGACATCAAATGAACATCGCTTTCATAGATCAAGAAAAAGCTTTCGACAGTAAACAGAAATTTATTATGGAAAGTTCTTGAAAACTACGGTATAAATGGAACAATTTTAGATTGTGTTAGGGCTATTTATAGACAAAGTGAAAGCGCCATTAGAACAAGAGCTGGCATCACAGACTGGTTCCCAGTAACATCAGGAGTAAGACAAGGTTGTGTATTATCACCTTTACTTTTCATAATATTTATGGACAATATTAATAAAATAGACATAACACCAACAGATGTCGATAAACAGGAGGACTTCAGTGAGCTGCTCTTTGCCGAGGATCAATGCATATTTCACAGTGATAGTAAACAGCTGCAAGACCACATAAACCTACTACACGACAGTTGCCTCAAGCATCATGTGAAGATCAATACTGAAAAGACAGAAGTCATGAGCATAAGTAGAGAACAACAGACCATCGACATAAAGATTCTAGATCACAGCCTAAAACAAGTGCAAGAATTTAAATACTTGGGAAGTATCTTTACATTCAATGGTAAAATAGACAGAGAGATCGAAGCAAGAATCCAACAAGCCAACAATGTCGCATACCAGCTTGCCCCAATTTTTAAACACACCCTGCTGTCCCAGCTGAGATAAAAAGACAAATTATAAATACAATCTTTATACCGACATTAGGTTATCAATGTCAGACTTGGACATTAACAAAAGAACACGAGAGAAGACTAACCACCTGGGAAATGAGATGTTTGAGAATGGCTGCGAATAAAACCAGAAGAGATCGAGTGAGAAACGATGTGATTACAAGAACTATTGGAACCATACCCATCGTTAAATTTATTGAGAAGCAAAGAATGAAATGGTTTGGTCACCTAATGAGAATGGAACCAACGATGCCAGCATCAAGAGCATACAACATGAAAATCAAAACACCAAGAGGCAGGGGAAGACCAAGAAGAAGATGGATTGAAGGAGTCACGGACAACTTGAGACTTCATAACATCACGGCATATGAAGCGACTGAGCGCGCCCTGGCTCGGTTGCCGATCATCTGATAGACTGCGACGCCTAGCGGCACAAGCAGATTTTGACCAAAAAAAAAAAAACAGTGATGGTCTTGTATAACTCTTTGAGTCCCAAGGAACGCATCATACGTTCATGGCTTCCTACCTAGAAGCCCAATGAACGCATGATGCGCCGATTTTATGACTTTATTTACTACCTCCTGGGCCTGTGATGCTAAACCCTCTGAGACAAAAAGTTAATGAGATGCTTCAGCTAGAGAACTGAGCACCTGAGATTTGAGTGATTTTATAAGGATGATGATAAGTTTATGAACAAAATATGAACGTAACTTAGTGGTAATGCATGATAAAACCTCTGACAGCTATGAGGCACTGTCAGGTTTTTCCACTTCTTCCAGCTTCTTCCCAGCTTGTTCCACCTCCTTCTCTGCGTGTTCCACCTCCTTCCCAGCTTGCCTATCTCCCACACAATGTAGGTTTCGTGCACGTCGACACTCTGTTTCTGTTATCAGAACTGACAGGTCTTTACCCTGATAGGATCTGTAATAATTAAAACAAACACACATGTGTAGTATACATACTTACACAAAGCATGCATATACTAATAAAATATCTATATCGTCTCTCCTCCTCATATTCCACATTCTCTCCATTCTAGTCTGAAGGTCTTATTTCTCACACTGATGTCTTACATATCCTGCCTTCCCTCTCATGTACTGTCATGATAGTTGACTTCCTATATCTGTTGTCCGTCTTCGCACAGACTTCCAAACTGGCTGACATTGTTTTGACATGACACGTGGCACAGGTTATGTGCTGAACACCGAAAACATTTTATGTTTGCATGCTGTCCTGAATATTATCTTTCCAGTGACAGTGAAATCTATACACCCATGATTCTTCTTCCGGGGCTATCAATCCCCTGTGTAGGTGAAAACATTTAGTGAGCACATGATGGGCTATCAAAAACGCAACCACATGGCTGCACATGTGGGCATCATTTTCCCATAGCCCCGGCTCAAGTTTTGGTTGATGATTGAAAAATTATAATTTCATTATTCAAGTCTTATTTTATAAATATGAAAACATACACTGAAAAACATGTGATACAAACATACAAGAAATAGGAATGGTTTAGCAGTTCCCTAACTGAGGTAACTGAATACTCACTAAATACCCGACCATTTAAATCACTCTTACCTGTTTGTGAGGTGAAAAATAGCTGTTTTTGTGTTTTTTCTTGGTATTCATAATATGCATATTATTATATGATCATAACATGCTTTATTGATATTATACAACTGCTGTGTGAAAGGTGGGTGTTAGAAGTGCTGAATGTAAGATGGGCCTGCGTGTCCAATTTGTAACCCTTTGCAAATAAAGTTTGTTCATTCATTTGTTCAGGAATTACCTCACAATCACATTGCATCTGCCCATCTTCAATACTAGCTTAAAAGTGATGCTTTTGCAGACTCTAGCAACATTAGAAGAGACTGAGACCATACCACTGTTTCCCACCAGTACCTAGGGAAGCTTTCAGGCTACAGTATCAGACAACTACACCACAGGCCGTACTTACGTTTTAATATTTAGATGTTTCATGTAAGAATTTGCTTTGTACATTCTTCAAGGTTATAATTCTTGTAATCTTTTAGATGTATTTAACGGAAGTGTACTTTATTTTTCAGGTTCTGTGTTTTGGGCTAGGCCTACCACTCACTGAACATGAGACTATCAACAACTGTGTTAAGGTTTATGTGGAATGGCTATCAGCTCTTCTGAGTCCAAAATCCTGTGTACCTCGCCCAATCATTGAGGATCCGAATCCATTTGCTCAAATCATATTGCATCATTTGCTGAATCTGTTCACACCAAGACCAGATTCAAGTAAGAAATTCAAATTGAAGAATGTAACAATATATGTCTTGCTTGCTCTCATAAATAAAGATCCTTTAAATGTTTTTATTTCATAAAATTCATCATATACTCACAATATTTATGAATGGTTCTTGTTTGGTATATTTATACAGAGACACTTTCTGTACTGTGAGGCTGAAATGTAATATAAAATTGCAATATAAAACAGTGAATAAACCTTTCGTAAACCCTTGTTCATGGGGTATTTGGTGTGCAGACCCATATTTGTATAGGCAAATTAGCACTCTATTGATGACATGGTGACAAGACTGACAAAAATATAATGTGAGTTATTTAAATTATTTGTCTCTTACTGATTATGTAATGTATAAGAATACATTTTATCCATACTTTTATCACAAGTATGACTTTGCAGTATTGTTCTTTTCAGCTTCAGATTTAGTCAATAAGCAAGCTGTATTATGTCATCGAGTGCTACGTGCAATAGAATCTGTGGCTAAGGAGTCAGCTATCCTTACAAGAGATACCTGGGAGGTCTTGTTGAAATTTCTTTTAGCAGCTAATGACAGTCTTTTGAGCCCACCAACTGAAAAAGGTACAATGTTGTTTTTTGAATTTTATAAAAGGGTGAGACTTCTTAGACTAAGACAGTTATCATGTAACTTATGCAGAAATATATAACAGTCGTCAGTGTCTGTGGATTAGGCATTGCGAAGGTGCTTCGTAATGTCGGGGTGCTGAGTTCGATCCCAGCTGAGGAAGGTTTGTCTTAGGTTGGTTTCGACAGTGGTACAGAGAGCTGTGCGTTTAGAAGCAGTGGCAAACTACTGAACATAAAATTTGCCAAGGACAACCACAACAGCCAAAAAATGCTGGAGTTGGTTCTGCAGTGTCCTGTAAAGGACATGTAACTAACTTTATATAAGTCATACTTCTGACTATAAATATTACACGATTTCTAGAGAGTTCTAACTCTATAAAAGCTAATTTGTCTCTAGTATAGGCAGTAAGTAAGATGGGGAAGGGAAAGTACTTGCTTTAACAATCAGTCTGAGAACTGATTTTCTTAACATAATATAGTTCTGTGAGTCAGGTTTCTTTTTTTTTTGCCTTATTGTGTAATACTATTCACACTATGAAGGATTGTGGGATTAGTATGCTTTGACTATTAGAACTGACAGTGCACTTGGTTGCAGCCTGTTGCTGATGCAGATTATTATCAAAGCAATGTTTCCCCGTTGTAAATTTGAACAAAGAAGACACAAACAATTTATTGCCTGGCAGTCATGTTGTGTTTGATCATTGTTGAAATTGTACTTCAGTTATAAAGGATTACCTTATTTGCTTCATTTATATAATTGTTACCTGACGAGATACAGCAGATTATTATGTAAAAAATGTGTAGGTAACAAATATAAGATGATGGAATGTCATCTATGTTAAGGCGAAGCTCCCCCTTTTGAAACTAAATTGTATACTATTAATTTCTATGTTCTGGTATGGTAAAGGATTGTTTATTGAAGACCTCAGATAAAAAAAATACTGTCAAACTGACTGTGCACTCAATGGTTGCTATGGAAACCAAGATAAACAACGGCCATGTTGGATTTCTCGCGAAATGTCTAAAACCACAATTTTTTCTATGTATAGGCTCATTTTTTTGTGTATATTTATACATTCATAGCCCCTTTACACAATTACAGAAGGTTTTTAATGAGATCATTTATCATTTCTTTTCTACTTAATAAAAAAAATGTAGCATATATTTTTAGACAATTTCTGTGGCTTTCCGACTGCTGCACAAAAACTAAACCTTAGTTTTACAAACGCTCTTTTTATTGCATACATAATACAATGTTAAATAAGTGTACAAAGTTTCATTATAATCAGACTAGCAGTTTTTGAGAAAATTATATCGTAAGCTGAAAAACTGTCAGAATGAGAAAACGGAGGAAAAGGGAAATTTTGCATGATTTATTATACTAACAAAATTATTGCCATGATTTAACATGTTATTTCACACAGAAAAAAACAGTTTATGATATAACAGGATTATTAGAACAATCCTGCTGCATATGCAGGACCTCTTTCTAGGGCATGTAGTTCATCTTGCCTCTTCAGTTTGGCAGCTCGTACAGTGTCGCGTCTCTTAGTTTGCTTGTCCTTCTTATACTTCAAGCTATTTCTAACTCTTTTCTGCATCCTAGATGCTCCTAGTCTCTTCGTATGCAGGCCTGTAGAAAATCAAACAAACTGGGCAGTGTCTTGAGAAGCAATAGCACCAAAGTTGCACACCCTTGCTGCAGTTACTACTGCAAACTGAATGCACTTGCGTGAGGCAAACTTGTCTTTAGTACAGTTGTCATATACCGCTCGTGTCGTGTGCCTGATTTAAGGATTTCTCCTTAAGAACCAACAGCACTCTGAAATAATAATGTTGAGGCATTGGCTCGTATTGGTCTAAGGGAGATCACGTGGCCAATATATGCCCAACTTATTTCAGGAGTAGGGCAACTCATGCTCTAGCACTACAAAATATCTAATATTCCTAGGCACACTTGGCTGGACACCCCCACTACTATAAAAAGCTAGCCCCCAGGTTATGATAGTATACTATCATAGCCATGTTAACACAGATTACACCTATTAATCACACAAACATAAAACTAGACAGTTAGAATGGTGAAACAGGGACACCCAAGTCAGCCATGAAAATTTATGAGAATGCATGTAATATTTTAAATATATACATATATATTTAAATATAAAGACAATCAAGATGGTTTCCAGTGAAAGGAGTTCATGACTTAACGTCACAGCAATGATGTTGAAACAGCTAGAGTCAGTTCTCAAACAAGTACATAATTCATCACTGTGAACTAAAGGTAGCCATGGACAGAGAGCATGTAGGTCATCCTAGATGTACTTAACCAAACTGGTAGGTCTCTGCTCCCCTCAGTCCATGGTGACTTGAACCGGCTGACTCAATAGATTACTTTTCTCTCTGGTTGATCTGGCACCCACTGATCGTCTCACATATGAGGACAAAGGAACTACACTGGAGCCCAACACAGCTCCTGAAGAAGACTTCCTTGGATTGATGACACGGGTGGCCTGCAATACTGTCTCTCAGCCACTGGAACTCACACACAAGCTCCTGAAGAAGGATTCCTTGGATTGATGACACAGTTCGCCTGCAAGACTGTCACTCAGCCACTGGAACTCACACACAAACTCCTGCCATGTTGAAGGTATGCCAACAATAGGTAGAGTTTTGGGTAGGTTTGGTGATAGGAATGGTATGGGTTGGTGATTGCTGGTTGGACTGTGATTCGTCTGACTGACTTCTAAGGAGATTTCATCCCAAGCTTAGGAATCCTTCAAGGATTAAACTGGTACTTTGAAAGCGCCAAAGTTACTGAGCGAATTACAAAGTCTTCCGACACCTCAGAAGTTTGGCAAAAGAATGCCCGCTCAGACTGAGCTTGGCGTCTCTAGAAAAGAAGTCCTTGTATTCGTGCCCAAGGAGTAAAAAGACTTACAGGAATTTCTGAATTATACTCAAGTAATATTCATCCCACAGTTGTAAGTTTGAAAATGTAGACTTCTCAAAACAACTAGAGGGTCTAGAAATGTTTATTTCACCAGATAGAGGTATATCAATATAAGGGACTATATACCCCCCTCCCCCCCCTCCCCCCGGACGGGTTTAAATTTGAAATGTGACGTGCCCACTAGGTATGTCAGCGTCACGACTAGTCCATAGTGTAGGGTTGGCTGTTCACTCGGCGACAGTACCCCCCCCCCCCCCCCCCAAAGGAAGAGCATACTACGCGAATGAACAGTGACCAACCAACCTACACATCCATGGACTCACCATTCTCAGCCTGCTCACCACCTTCAGTCTTTGAATCACCAGACATGGGGTGACAGCTCAAGACATCTGCTCTTAAACAAATGGTTGACTAAAACCAATCTTTCAGAGACAGATGAAATATATACAATAATGATAATTCATGTGAATATAGAGGAATCTCTGACCACTTTACAACACTATCTCAAATAGGAATCTCATAAAGAATCAGTAGATGTCCCTGTGGACCTAAGATTTTTATGATTCCATCCATGTACCACTGAACTCTGTTCAGGTACATGCAAAGATGTAGGTTCGGACCGAACCCCCTGATCAGGCTGGCCGAATAAGCCCACACACCATCCTGGTACTCCCGTAATCTTCAGGCAATGTACCGGTGTGCCTCCTACATCACTAGTCACACAGGAAGGTCGTCACGACTAGTCCACAGTGTAGGGTTGGCTGTTCACTCCGCGATAACAGTGAGCCTAGATCAGGCTGTGTAAACACTCATTTGAATTCTGAGATTTTCCTGAAACACATCTACTAAGTAGTTTAGGCTCAGACAGTCTTTCATAAATTGGCAAAAGATACTTCTGTAGCTTGTCATGGTTGAGCCATGTGTTTAACATCTTATAATGAGGAGCCGGGCACTGGTGCACTCCACTTGGGCACATTTCATGGCGTGGAGTTTCGTCTGTTGAAAAACAGTGATGACGTGAAGCCATAACACTGTTCCTCATGGACTCTACACTTGTGTTGTTTCTTATCGCTCTGTTGTAGTAAATTGACATTTTGTGTAAGCTGACCTTTACCACGTCCACCAACATGTCACGCCTTTCTTTCGGCAGTCAGCAACAACATTACGGAGTGCCGTTCCAAGGCGTTTACTGACATGGTTGATGCACTCTTCTTTGTCTATGTGAATGCCCCCCCCCCCCCCCCCCCCCCCCCCCCCAAGGTTTTATCTTAGTAAGCATCACACTCCAGAACACTGTAGGAAAACTCATGGAAAAAATTGTTGCCAGAACGTTAACCCAAATATTGGAGTCGGGTGGCCTATTCCCCGCTACACTAGGTGGTTACCGACCAGGAAGAGATACATGGTGCAATGCTGCAGTATTTGACTACGACACATATGAGGGTTTCCAGGAGGGAATAGAAATGGCTGCAGCCGCTATTGACTTAGAAGGTGTGCACAGCAGCGTCCCATACAACATGCTCATCAGACTGCTGTTGGATATGCAGATAGAAACAAATTTGGTCAACTGGATCGCAGCAGCGCTATTTGAAAGAACAGTGTCGCTTCGATGTGGTGAATGGGCATCCGAACCTCAACGCGTCCTAATGGGTCTGCCCCAGGGATCACCATTGTCGCCTGTGCTCCTCAATGTGTACACAGCAGGAGTCACGAGTGCACAAAGCGTAGGCCTAGGCAGAACAATGTCATATGCAGATGATATCTTTGTTTACCGTCGAGGTAAAAACAGGCAGGAAATTACAACCACACTACAACACGAACTAGACAGACTTAGTGAGTGGTGCCAGGAATCAAGAGCTCAGGTAAACCCGCCCAAGGCCTCCTTAACATAGTTCTCTCTGAATACCCACATCGTGAGTACACCAACGCCAGTCGTAAACATCTGTGGTGTGGACATCGAGAGAATGGACACCATGAAATACCTGGGCATGACATTTGACAGATGCTTGTCATACAAATGCCACGTAGACAACGTCATACTTAGAGCCAGGAAAGGTTTGACAGCACTCAAGGTGCTAGCAGCAGCTGAAATTGAACGTCTACTTTTCCTTCTCTATCAAGGGCTTG